AAAAACAACAACATAACAACAACAACAACATGCTTTGAGTAACACTAATGTTTAGGGGGTAGGAGTTGGATGATAACCAGGAAGCGGTAGGAGGAAAGCCAATGTAAAACTATTTAACAGACAACAAAGCTAAATAATATCCAGGACTAGGGGGTGGTCAATAGTGTCAAAAAGCTGCAAAAAGTTTAAGGATTTCATTTGATTCAGTAAGGTATCACAGGCAATTCTTGAGAGAAACTTCACTGGAGTTGGGAGTTTGAATCTAGATTGAATGAGGAAATATAATCAATGAGCACTGTAATAATAATATAGCTAATATTTATATAGTGCTTTAAAGTTTGCAAAGCACTTCATACATGTTACCAGACTTCCAAGAAAGCCTGGGACATTTTCATGCTGCATTTACAGAAGGATATATAAATCCTAATTAGTGAGGAATGTTGACGCAATGCCTGGGTCAGGATCAGAGATGGTGTGAGGGCTTCTGGGAAGAGAGAAGTATGTAGCGTGAGAAATAATTTGGAAGCTATATCTTTGTAGGGAAAGACAACTTCTCAACATGCCCCTGATTTTCAGCTCACCTGATTAGAGACACTGGAGATTTATCCCTTGGGTGAGACTAGGGCCTCTCTCTTGGTTGAGCTGAGATTGCTCCCATCTAAATCTTTCATCCACTCATGCATTTTCTGGTATATTTTAATCTGAATAACTTCTCCAATTTCTCTTATAGTTCATAGTTCTGGAGTGAAATGAAGCTTTCTTTCCTTCTAAACTTTTGAAACTGATGCATTTCTCTTCCTGTGGTGCATTTGGTCATAACCCTAGCTCCAGAAAGCTCTTGATTCCTGAAGAGAATCATGTGTTGTCCTTACAAGTTCTTCCCCGATTGCCTTGCACCAAAGAGTCACAACTAAGTCCTGGTGGCCCAGTTCCCAGTGGCTTCCCAAATGCCATATAAAAAGTGTTAAGCAGTTCCTCTAGCACAATTTTCAGATAATCTCTAAATTCCAGTCTTTAGGGTAAGTACAGGCTTACTACAATTGGTGGGCCTGTGAGTCTTTATTGGCCCAAATATTTAAAAATAGGCAAATTCAGCCAACAATAGTTTATAACACGTACTATTCAAGTCATAGTTCTTAAAGACCCAGAGCACATATACTTGTCTCTAGTTGCTGAATGTTCACAGAGAGTGAGCATTTCATTCTCAAAATTCAGTATTCTTCCGCTACATTACAATGTGATTTTTAATGATGTACAAGAAATAAAAGTTTCAATTTTATTTTGAGGCATCAACTATAAAGGAACCAAAACAGCTTTGACAATTGTCCACATAAGATACTCCAATCAGAACTGCTTTATCAACACTTACAAAAAATATTCGTGGTGGCGCAGTGGATAGAGCACTGGCCCTGAAGTCGGGAGGACCTAAGTTCAAATCCAGCCTCAGACCAAACACTTGACACTTAACTAGCTGTGTAACCCTGGGCAAGTCACTTAACCCCAATTGCCTAAAAATAATAAGTAAAATAAATAAATAAAACAAAAAAAATTCTGAACAAAAAGAAAGCATTTTGAATGATGTTTGGATATTTATGATGATCTAAATCACTGAACCAGTACAGCTAGGTGGCGCAGTAGATATAGTAGTAGTCTTGGAGCAGGAAAACTCATTTTCCTGACTTCAAATCTGGCCTCAGACACTTACTAGCTATGTGACCCCGGGCAAGTCACTTAACCCTTTTTGCCTCTGTTTCTTCATCTGTAAAATAAGCTGGAGAAGGAAATGGCAAACCACTCCAGTAATCTTTGCCAAGAAATCCCCAAATGGGGTCATGAAGAGTCGGACATGACTGAAAACTAAACAACAATCTGAATGATATAATACAAAACCATCTTATCTTTGAAGATCGCAAAGGTTACAGTCACTAAACACTGAAAACTATTGGCAAAAGTGGAATTTCTGGGGCCCTGCAAAGTGAGAGCAGGAGAGTAGGAGGGTCCTTTTGGAAGAGCCCTTGGTCCAGAAGCAAGATAGTGAGGACTCGTGTGTGTGTGTGTGTGTGTGTGTGTGTG